ATAGCTGATCTGTCGCTATGATCAGCTTTCGATTTTTCAACCACTTTTACGGGGGCAGGTTTCCCTTTTATGTCAATACTTTTCTTCCTTACAACCTTTACCCATTCGTTAACGCTGCTGGTAGAAGCAGTAGCAGTTGCGTCAAAACTAGTGTTGGGTTTTGGGGGGTTGTCGACGACCTGAGGGGTCGTGTTATGTTTACCAGTCGAAACCGATCGAGCCTTGCGATTGCGGCCCTAGGTGTTTCCTGTTGGATCCCATCTGGGAGACGGGGAACAGAAGACCCTGCTTTTCTTGAGCTTTTTTTTAAGGCAGACCCCTTTGGATACTGCTTTTCCTTCTTCGACGGGCGTGAGTCATCTATCACCGGACTCACCTTAGTTTCCTTCACATTGATTTGCGTGTCAACAGATCGAGTGCTGTTTGACGCGTTCCGACTATGCTTGTTGAAACACTTCTTGGCAGCATCAACCAGTGAGATAGCCTCGGTTAACAAGCTGTTTGCATCCGAGCAGCACTGTTGACAAAGCCACACACAACCCTTCTTACTGAACCGTTTGAAAGCAGCAGGCGTTAAGTTCGTGCAAACTTCGTGGTACCAGCCTTTGCACTCGTCGCACTGCATGCCGCTTTCAACAGGATAACGACAACCCGGACGTTGGCAACTGCTTTTTTTACACTGTCCGGTCATTTAGGAGGGGTTTTTTCAATATGCGATGATACCCAGAAACAAAAAAATTATCAATGACCAAAAAAGTGAAGAGCTGTAGATTGCTAGGACCAAAAGTACTAACAGATACAGTTGAAAAAGTGGTACTAAAGAGTACCAACGACAAAACAGTAAAAACGATACTTTAGTCGAATACTTTAACTGAAATAAATTCAATTAAAGTGAAAAACAGTAGTCTTGATACGTAATAAACGATCAAAACAATGAAATTTACTCAGCGAGGAAAAATACCACTGTCCTTTTTAAATAGATCCAAAGAACTATTTAGTCCTTGATCGCATTGTTAGTCAATGTATATTTACGCTATTTACAGGTCATATTTGCTAGAGCTTGATGTTTAAACAAGACTATGTCGCTGAAGCATGTAAATGCTATTACAGCTTGTTAACAAACCATCAAAGCTAATTAGTTTATATAGACGACCAGTTTTTATTATCGATTGAGCTAGTTTGTCATGAGTACTAATCAATATAACATTACGATAATGCATGTGAGCATTAATCAGAGGACCATTAGAATACAGTGTTAACATAAATATAAAATCGATCGAGAAAGTTGAAGTTGAAATAAGGATTAATAATAATAGGTTGCATTTCTTTAGTTGGGCTCACCAATGTAGAATTATAGTCTACTACGATATTATTACTGCTCTTATAATAGACCTAATCCTAAACTTGTAGATTTGTCATGATATAACTGCCTAATCTATAGATCTTACGTGGAAGTCACACCATCGACTACACCAACTCACTGTAGCGTATCAATTACCAATACATAATGTAGAACGAGGTTAGGCTAGAGAAAGAACAATATTTAATATGAATGAGATATAGGATAACATCCAGCAGGGACCACGCCTGCATGGCCGAGCCATGCCACTCGATCAACTCCCGTCCATTCCATTCATTGTTCGCGCCTTCTCCATTGTTAGGTATTTATCCGCGTTAAATATTGAATATCTATTTTCTGAGTAGTCTCGTGTTCACAGCTTTGTGGATTGTGCGGTTATTGTTCAATGCCACTACAAGATCACCAAGTACGTGATCCACTTGGATGATTTAGTGCCTACTCCGGTTATACGAGAAGTACCTGGCCTTTCAGCTCACTTCTAAATCACACATCATGCTTGATACTTAACATGGATTATCCTTCCATTGTATCCAGACACTATTGGTACTTTGATGACTGTGTAACACATAACGTTGTTACAGTAACGTAATAATTATAGTAGGCATAAGAAAAAGTAAATGACCACTGCTGCGTGCCCTTGTCTATATGTGCGAATGATTGATATATTTTTATTTTCCTTGACTCTGACGGGACTCGATGAACTGTTTGATATGTAGTGACTTGATTGTCGGATGATTTGTCTAGTTCTCAGTAACATTTTGCCGGCCCTACATGTATCTCCCATAATTAACCTAAAGTCAACTTCATCAGAAACCCAATAGTTCTGGCTAGATTCAGCTTCCGGAAGAGCTCGACGATTAACTCAATCTAATGCTCTGGAGGGATCTACAAGGCTGATCCGTATTATGTCGATATGCATTCCTAGACGGCTGGTAAACTTATACTACAAAGTCTGCCAAGAAGAAAGCCATATGGCAATAAGAATAGAATAAAGTTATCAGGAAGACGGGGCAGAACAAATACACTAATAACTCTTTAAATGATCTTGACCATCGAAGAGAGCAGGAATATTAGTCAGAGATCGATATTTTCTACCTTGTTACCACAATTGTGTGCAAGTATGGCTGTACAATTTTTACAGTTAAACGATAGTCAATTTTTAGCAAGCGAATACTTGAATAGCATATCAAAAGAAAATCAACGTAGATTTGTTCATCTTTTTAGTACACTGTTAGGTTCTTTATGTACCGGTAAATATATACGGGTTCTGGAGCATCAAGATCTGTTTGGCTTCGAAACCCTCAATGCACAGTTGACTGTGGAAAACACTTAGCTTGCTGTCGGCTGGTTGAGATATACCAGATCAGGAGTTATTACATTATAAATTTACGGAGTGAAGAACCTGTATACTATTGAGGTACTTCGGTGTAGTATATTCAGTTCATGTTATCCCCTTCCTTTCACACAGCTATAAAAACCCGAAGACTAGATCAAATTGGCCTGATAGATTGATCCATCTTATTTGATTTTTAACTCATATTCACTGCGTAATGCCTTGCGAGATTATCATTCTCTCGTGTCGTCGTGGAGTAATCTAAGCTGCCACAAGTATTCTGAGTTTCCTAACGCCTAACCAGTAACACCTTTATAATCGAAGTATGCTAAACCAGTCAAGTCAGAAGTCAGAGATGAAGGAGTTCGGAGATATAATTAGAAGGCTATCGGTATGTCGAAGGGATGTTTGATCTAAACTGGCCAGTAGTCGAAAGGGGTGTGTAGCACGGCGTACACACTCATGATTTGGTGCGGATTCGTGGCCGAGCGCCTTCATCTGGGTGAGTCCAGTGGAGATAATGCGGTCAGCAATGAATGTCGATTACTTACAGAGCTATGGATCTTTGGGATTTATTCGCTGCTACAAATCATCTGCTCCAAGCTATTAGTTTGGTGCTGATGAGTTTGCTGGCAGGATAATTATCAACGGAGAAAATGTGAAGTGTTTGTTCCGTAACCACTAAAGTTAAGTACGTTAGTCGATGGACTGAAGCAGAGTGTACTTCAAAAAATCCCACTATTTGTTGATGTAAACTCAGTTGTGGTCATTCAGCTTAGACAGTTTTTCGATTTTTACTTTAATATCATTAGGGTTATTCTAGCAGCAATACTTATATAAAGCGGGTCCAAGTGACAAGTGACAATGACAAAATTAATTTTCCAAGATGGAGATAAGTTTATTATTACAACTTTCTGGATACATAAATCATCTTTAAGCATTTTTATTGCTATTGTTTCGATAAACCGGAGAGGAGCTGAGTCTTTTATTTGTTAATAATTTTGAAGGCTTGTGAGATGTCAGTAGTATGTTCGGTATCAATTAAATGCTGAGATATTGCACTGTCTAAAGCTGTTGTGCCTCTCAGTTTCAAGTTCTTTGGAGCGTTCCCGGAAATACGAACATGTACTCTGTCAGTCTGTGCTTCCACATCTGTATCAGATCCTCCTTGTTCACCAATGATGCTGCCCGACATGTGAAAGTTTACACCTCGTCATCAGCCTCTCCATCACGTGTGGCTGAGTTGGTGGTCGCTGTATTGCGTTTCAACATCTGGCCTTTCCTCTAGCACATCATGATGTCTACTGCGACAGAGGCTGCTACTAATGAATTACAGTATCCTAAACACTCCTGGTTATCATTTAAAAGACTTACCGAAGTCCATTCCGATACAAACCTTATGAATTCTGCTTGAAAAAATAGAGACAGGACATTTTGACATTGATTGTAGGTACGCCTACTAGCTGAGTGCATTAAATACTTCTACTCCACCACAGGCCAAAGTGGTCCAAACAACACCATTTATATCCTTCAAGAGGAGACTTAACACATCGCCAAGAACTCGGAATACTATTTTATACCATTGTGCTAGTTCCTTTGTTAATTTTACTTATTTCATGTACCTAGGTCTTTACATGAAGGAATAGGTGATCAATTGCTTCTAAACACCATTTGAATTTGTCCGAAACCTGAAATTTTTTATCAGTAGAAGTGCAATATCATAAGTTCCGGTAGACAGAGTTGATCTGAAGCAAAAGAGTTGACCAGTCTCTAAGTTAATCAAAAAAGTTGTTAATCATGTATAATAGAACATTATTCTGAGTCCTAGAGACCTTGACTTCACCTCAACGCCGGCGCTCGTATTGACTTTAGTCACATGGCTACTAAACAAAGTAGGCTTCAAACTTTTTAATAAGTCTCTTATGAAGGTTCAAACTAGCTGATAAATTTCAGCCTTGCTTTAACTCTCAATATCCAATCTTCGTAAGTGAATTGCATTGCATAATTATTGAAATACGCAGCACACTAAGTCAGGTAAAATTTATTGTGGAAGAGATGTTGACGACTCACTGTGTATAAATGTACTCGATGAAAATTCGTTCACCTTGGTCAACAGAATTCGGGTAAAGTGTTTGACGTTTTTGCCTTGATTTCAGGATGATGAGGTTATCACATCTTTCGTTGTCGATGAAGCCGGATCGGTAAACACATGTTTAGTTTCTTATTTTGTAGGAGATATTTATTGCTACTAAGAACTTGCTTTTAAAACGTCTTGATAGCCTCTCTCTAAGGCCTACAAAAGTATGGATGGTAAGTAGTTCATTTGGAACTCAGATTTGCTGCCTAGTCTTGTCACCAAAGAATCGTGCAGAAAATGGCGCTTAACAAAACTTCAACACGATTAGCTACCGGTTCAGGAGATATGATTGTTAGATTATGGCATATTGGTTCGAAGGAAGGCTTCTCAAAAAGCTGTCGACTGCACCAGGGAATGATAACGTATGTGAACTGTTTTAATTTTATACAATTCAAACTACTGTATTGGTACACAGAAATTAAAGCTAAAAATTTCCAACAACATACGTCCACAGTAGCGGCTCAGCTGGACTATCTGATGGTTGTTAGCCTACTAAAGAGACGATTCAAATAAACATGTATTTCTAGTTTAAATATTTTCATCTGTTAGCAAAGGACTTTTACAGTTAATCTGACTTCCTATTTGGTCTAAACTAATCGAACAGTTCTTACATTCTTTCTCATCTCAGACTTTTTAGAGTCCAGTATTCCTATCATACGCGGTAACTGTTATGACATTCTTGACAAATCCCAAGTACCTGACATTTTAAAAAGTGGTGGCTAATGGTATTATAAGTGTCATTTTTTTGCATCATAACTATTTACTATATAGGCATTGGGTACATCATGTTACGGAGTTGTCCGCTGCACCATTAAATCGTATCATCTGATGTGTTTTGATCTTTTGGATAGCCAGTACTGAAAGTCCGAACTCAAAAGGCCATCAAAGTGCAATTCTAATGTTCTCGGACTTGACATAGTAAGTGACAGTACTCTGGATGAATTCTTGTACTGAAGTTAGAATGAAGTAGATATTTATAAACTCGTATTTTGAAGAACTATTATGTTGATGTACTCAAAAATGTGGATTTGATCATTTTTGTGCTGGTTGACTTGAATTTTCCAATTTAGCCAAATAAAATGACAGAACATCACTTAGTGATACTATGTTAGGCGTAAAATCACTAACAATTTCAAATGAATGTTTCTCATGCCATATGGTCACGTTTGCTTACACCAGAAAAGTACAACATTAATGACAGAACTCTAATAAAAATAAACGGACTTCGGATATGATTGACTAAACCGTAATTTACATCTATTCATTCTCTCAACTTGCAAAACGACCATCCATTGTTATGCTTTGCGGTTGTGAAATCCCACCTTTAAATAACACTGTTTGGTTAGGTGGCCTTTGATTTGTTTACTTAATACACTGATAAGATGTTTCTATTTGTATATTGAGATTCCATTTGGTTAGTTTTCTTTCAATGTGCCGTGTGAAGTATAGTATCCCTTAAATGCCATGGTACGGACGAGGGTGGTGAGAGTCTGCTTTCCCTCTGGAAATGCTCTCAAATGGTCATGCGTATACAGCCTGATTCTAAACCGATGGTACATATGGGCTCCAAAATCCTGAAGGGACAAATGACGTATGAACCTATTGTTGGGCAGTAGCTACCATGGGACTATATCTTGTGACGTTACTCCACTGCCTTGTGGGTTAGAGCTCTAGTTCAAAGGTTCGGGGACCGACTTCCCGAGAAAACTATCTGCTTTTATCTGAACACCAGGAATAATATCAATTTTGTATCTGACAAATATTTTCCACAATATGAAAACGTACTTAGTAGTATGTGGCTGTATTACAGAAGTCAAGATAATATCCTACACTGGTGAAAATTTTAATTTCTTGATTCCTATTTTCGGATCAGTTTCATCAAAGGAAATATCCACGTTTATTATTTTATTTTTGATCCATGAATTCTCTTCTATTATTATGAAGTATTTTATTAAACATTTCCTGGATTTCGCTCCCATTACAGACTATTGAAATTCCATCCGACATTACCTTACCTTTTCTCATCGTCAGTGGGTGATCACTTTGTAGCTGTGTGGGACACTGAGACTGGAAAACATGTCTCTTCTCTTGAAGGTCATCAAAGCATTGTTACAAGTTTGGACTTTAATGCTGGAAAAAATGAATTAGTTACGTAAGAAACAAAATTTATCTCTATCGTGTGTTTTCAGATGTGGGCGCGATAAAGTTCTTATTGTCTGGTCGTTCGTAGACTTCACAAAACAAAAAGTCATACCTACCTTTGAGGTAAGTCATGAAAAGGAATATTTAAACGTACATTAGTTGATCACTGGGTCCTAACGAATTTTATGTTTGTCTAGTTCTAGTGCTTATCGAACTCGATCAATCAAGTTATGACGTAACCACCAGTCTCAGTGATTCAAAATCCTGTCCACTATGCTTAATATTAGGTGATTGGAGGTTGTTTGGCACGTGCGATGTTCAATGGTGTAGGAGTAGTTTGGAATATAGCTAGGGGCGGCCAGACCAAAACATAGAACAAATCCATGAAGTCACTGATAAGTGAACTGAGCCATGCTGGTAGGTGTAAACTACCTGGTTAGGGACCGCGAGGTGATAGCAACCGATGGTTAGAGACCCTGAATGACATAGCTCAAAATCGTTTGCAATGGCGCAGGTGCATCCACTCTCTGTGTTCTCCCAAATTCTAATCTTGTGAATTCTTCATGTCCCTTTTTTCTCTTTCCAAATTTACTTCACTGTATTGTACTCCTTAAATAACATCTTCAAACCCTAATCTTTTCGATTACTGCTTATACTTTGACTACCTCTACCACTACGGGATTTGAATCGACAATTGTATCTCTGTGCTAATGTGGTATGACAACTCGAACTGATGTACGTACGTACCAAATTCTACGTTGTTACTGACTGACTGGTTGGCACCAGTTGGCTAGGCGTACCTGTAATCTTGAGTAACTCGATGGCCTACATTTGGTTGATCACTGGGTAACGGTCAGTGTCATGTATCTCAGGTCTTTGGTACAGTCATTAGTCCAGGTGACTCAACACTGAGTGCTTCCGACAAATGATTTCAGTCGCTACCCAGCGACCAATCAGTTGTAAATACATCTTAGTCCTACAGGCGGTCAGTCTCGGCCCGGATAACTCAGGAATAACAACTGTGACTGTAAAGCTGGTAACACGGATTCAAATATACCCAGTCGCATCAGTTGGGGGCAACCACAATTCTATGTTTTTGACCGGTATCTAATTAAAATAATAAAAATAATCTGTGTTTGTAATTGTGTATATCTGTTACTGTGCTTGACAACAGTTCAGCTCAAGTTGTAAAACAGTTGACAAAGTGTTCCCCCATGTCTTCAGTATGGAGTTGTGAAGTTGAATTCTTTGAAAATTACTAGCCGATCTAAGTTAAATCACCATTGAAATCTAGAAGCACTAGATGGCCGTTTTGTCCGAGTATGGGACTCCTCAGAAGTACACATCCACAATTCCGCATGCAGGAATCAAACCAAGGATTTTTTTAGTTTCCACACGAAAGCTTAACTTCTAGACCACTGATCCATCATGCAACGGTGCTTGTTTTCTGACGTTCTGATTGTTAATACTTTTAAATCTATCATGAAGATAATTGATTAGTTTATGTTTCAGTTGGTTCTTCTCATGATTCAAAATAAAAGCAGCGTTTCAAGAAGGCGATAACTTTTCATCAGTTTAACGAACATATATTTTATGTAATTCTTATAATAATATTTACTTTCTTATTTTTTAATTCATTTAGGGATAGGTTCATTAATGAATATTTTACTAGTTGTGAGTGGAGGGATTACAACAATTATGTTCACGTTGATGATGCATTGTACATGTTCTGAATCATCTAAAGCCTATCAAGCCACTCATTATTCTATATTAAGTACAGCAGAATTATTGGGAAAACTTTTATTTGGTACAATAGCCGCATATTTTACAGATGTATTCGGATATGGAGTTGCTTATTTGTGCTTTTTAATTTTATCTATACTTCCAATTCTATATGTTTACAAATGTTCTGGGAAATTTCGATTTTCTCCCTAAATGGTTATTTAACTAGGTAAGTTTGTTTTTTTCAATTCAGTCAAATATTGAATAAAAAATGTTTTACCTTGGCATTCGGCTATAATTATCGGTCAGTTCAAGACTTGTAACCATTTGTTCATATGTTGTAGGGTAACACGTTCTCATAAGCAATCCTATTCCTTCACTAGGGAAAAAGAATTAAGAGTGTTTTGAACTTGCAATTACCTTAGGTGGATTAATTCAGTAATGAAATTATGCAGAAAAAAAATGAAAATTAGGCTTCAGTTACTGCCGAATTTTTTATAAAAAACAACAAGAAAATAGAATTGCAGCATCGAAGTGTGTTGTGAATCATTTTCAAGCTAAGATTTTCGAAAAAGAATTGTATACAATGATTCAGATTTATGTACACTTTCTTATCCGCCTAAGTTTATCTTCGTTTTCCATCAATTATATGCGTTACTAGTCTATGAACATGGTAATTAGTGTCAGACATTGTCCTTCACATGTCATTTGATGACCCGGTTTTATATTTGATTCCTAAATAGATTGTAAAATTAGCTCATGTCCATCCTTCAAAATTCAAAGGGTATGATGTTTAGCTACGTACTTTAATAAAATCCACGTTCAACCCAAATGTTGTCAGCAATAAGAGAGCTTGTGAACCAATTTATATGTATCATGGTCATTGTAAAAACTGAATTATGTATCAAACACTTCCATATCAATTTATTTTGATGGAGTTTTGTTCTCTGAGCTGGATGGATTGATCGTGGAGTTTTCATCGTTCTTCTGACCGACATCATCAGCACAAACATCAATTTATTTTCTCGAAAATATCATTTGTTGTCTAACATAATGAAAAATAGATCTCATTGACTGAGTGATCGTTTTTCATTGTTACATATATGATTTGGATTTTCTTTAGTGTTTTGGTAGAAAAGAGGTTTGAGGTAATTTATGTTTGTACTTCTGACACAATTCATTCTTTAAGTATTTTTCCTAGGTCTGTAAATGTGTCCATTTGCGAAGATTTTCATCATGCTATTGAATTAAAAGTTGAAAAATTGCTTTTACCCATTCTCCATGTAATTAGATATGAATCACACTCTAATTTTGAGGGCTAATGATATTATCTAGTTTCTGAAATCGAACTAGGAGGAGCAGAATTAGAACCGGAGACTTAGAAACTGAAAGTTTAACGCGTTGATCACTAAACCACATCTTCATGTTGCTGAGTAGTAAGACGTTCAGAAAAGAATCTCTTATTTTTTTTCTCCAGAATGCAACAAGTTACAGTAATCTCGGAACTGTTCAGTTGTTATATATTTTAATCGTTGAGATCATGAGTCAATTGAAGCTAGGTCACTATGGAAAACCTGGAACCACTGGACGGCCATTTCGTCCTATTGTGGGACTCCTCAGCAGTGCGCATTCACGATCCCACCTCGCGAGATTCGAACCCAGGAACTGTCGGTCTCGCGCTTGAGTGCCTAAGCTGCGAACCATTAAGCGGAATCCAACGCTGTTAATGTCTAACTTCAACTAATCCACAAAATTGAGCGACACATCCACCATTGTCTTCGGTGAGTTACTATCTCATAACATACCCGGTTGAATTCCACTGGTCACTGCTTCTCACTAGAACTCCAGGAAATATTTCTTAAAGCCAGTCACTAGTGAGCATATGTTAATTATTATCAGAAGGGGTTCTTTGTGCATATTATAGTAATTTTAATCGTTGGTTTCAAATCTCGCGAAGTCGGATCGTGAATGCGCACTCCTGAGGAGTCCCATAATTAGACGAAACGGCTGTCCAGTGCTTCCAGGTTTTATATGGTGGTCTAGCTTCAATCGACTCATGATCTCAACGACTAAAATTACTATAATATCCACAAAAAATCCCCCTTCTGATGTTATATATTTAAAAATAATTCATTTCGTCAGCTGAAATACACCAAAATATCAAAAATGATTTAGAATTAAAATAATTCATATTTATGATTGTATTTTTAATCGCTTTCAAAAAATTTGATCAAATTCTAAAAAAATGTTTCCTTCTTTCCAATTGGAATAAATCTTACATCAGATCTCTATTATTATATTTACTCTTATAGGTATTTATTTCATAATTTGATAAATCTTCTGACTGACTGCTTGAATCGGTTTCCTAAGCTCTCTTAATTAAAGCCAGGCTAAATCTGCACGACAACTTGAACACGAGAAGAAGAATGCGAAATACGGAAAGAATGCTTTACTCCAAAGGTTCGCTTATGTACAGAAAATATAGGGTGTTTTTATTTATTTATTTATTTATTTGAACACATGAATATTGGTACAAGACAGCGCCAATATATTTGCGCCACACAAAACAATGAAAATTCGAAGAGAAGTAGAAAAAAAAACTAAGGAGCGCAAAAGAAAAAGAGAACAATGACGAAGAGATTGGAGTAAGGTAGTGTGGTAGTAACGAGGGAACGAAAAGGTACAATCAGAAGAAATCTTTCAGGTAAGGGAGACACAACCACTTTTTATGAAGAAAGTAAAAGAAGGTTACAGCAGGATCGCAACTGGTTTCTATTCTGAGCCATATCTGATAACGTCTCTAGCCACTGTGTAGCACCATCTCTCAGACCCCAACCAGGGAGTCGTGAAGGACCAACACAAGCCAGTCCTTTGCAGCTTTCTTTCATACCACGACACCATGTCATGCACTGACCACCTCTCCGCTTCTTCCAACCAGTCCCAGAGTCGGCAAATAATGCACGACGTGGAATTCTCTGGGACGACATTCGGAGAACATGTCCAAGCCACCGAAGTCGGTGTTTCAAGATGGTGACACCAATTGAATTATCATCTCTGTACCCGAACACACGATGCCGAACCTCTGCATTACTGACATGGTGTTGCCACTGAATGTCGGCAAACCTTCGGAGACAGCGATGATCGAACACAGAGAGTCGTCTAACTTCCTCAACTCGGAGAGACTAGGTTTCACAAGCATATAGCAAAACTGCTCTCACCAACGCGTTGTAGATCCGACCTTTTACAGCCAGACTAACATCACGAAGGCGTCAAAGGTGGCCCAGATTGGCAT